ACGTGATATTTCAGAAAACAATAACAATAAATTGCTTACGCTGTTCTTGGAAGAAATATCTCCCTTGGAGGCGGCAGCCAAGGCGATCGATTGCCTGACCCGTCTCACGGATCCAAAATCCAACGGTGTAAATGGCTTTCCCCAGAGTTCCCATCGTCTTCTTCTTCCTCCTCCTCTCTGACCTCGCGCTATTCAGAGCCAACCAAATCACTGGGAGCTTTTGGGCTTCTTGTACTCAGAAATGGAACGAGGAAGCAATGGGATCGCAGCAATAGGGTAATTTGGAAATCGATCTACCGAAACGCTGCGTTTTAGTCCCCTGGGTCTTACATGCTAACAAGCGCAAATTAATGCAACTCACCGTTATAAATTTTAGGTAATTCTATCGTACCTCCAAATTATGATTTTTTTTTTAAATGTCAATATCCACCAAAAATACTCTTAAATTATTTCATTTATTTTGTTGATTTTTTTAATTAAAAAATATGAATTTTCACAAAGAAGCCCTTCTAAAACCCTAAAAATGACATATTCAAGTAAAAATGGAACCTTAAACTGCAACCGACCTATCGAACTTTGATATCTCAATGACCAACTAGCAAAAAATAAATAAAATAACACAGTCGAAAATCCTAATATACTGATAATTTAAAATATTGTAGGAATACCATCGATTGGCTCGTCATTCAAAACCGTAATTATAATTCAAAAAATGCATCGTGGCTAATTTAAATTGTAAATAAAAATAATTAATTTTATTACGTATAATAAAAAAGTATAAACCAACATTGGTTGACCGCTGTACTTTATCTAATTTTTTGATCGGATGACAACAATTAGTCGACAATCCAAAAAGGATTGCAACTAACCAACTAACTGAACTTAAAAAGAATTATTTCGTGCATGCATCGCTACAACTATTTTAATTTGTCGGAAAGACCTGAAGTTCGTGGATATCTGACATGTCATATATCGCCAATAAACAATATATGGTGTTGATTTTAACCCATGCTAGTTGAACATCGGTATTAAAGAAAATATTGACTTAATAAATAAAGAAGTTTCTGTAAATTAAAAAAAAAAACTTGCAAATTAACGTCATAAATCAAACTAAATTATGAAAAGAAATTAACTTTTTTTTTTCTTTTTAGTTTTTCCACATATTAAAAAACAATTTATTTATTTTTTGTACGTAAAATGTATTTTTTAGAAGAAATTTCAAAATTTAAAATAAAAATGAAAATTTCAATGTGTAAAAAAAAACCTAACATTCCATTTTTAATTTCAGTTTCCCCATTTTTTCCTCGTCGTGCATTACCATCAGATTATTATTATTTTTTTTCTTTTTCTAAACCCTATTTCAGGTTCAGTCACCCCCTCCCTCCCATTTCTCGTCACTGCACACTGCACGCCGTCCCTGCTCGACGCCGTCTCAACGGCTGCCGCCACACGCTGCATTCTCAGCTGCCGCCGTCTCAGCCTTCCGCCGCTTATTTCTCTGATCTGCAAGGTTTTATTATTATTATTATTATTTTTTATCTTTTTTTCGTTGGGTTATGTTGGTTTATTCTCTTCACCTACGGAGGAGAAAACAAAGAATATATATAAATTTTGTTGTTTGATTTGTTCTTCAACCAATGCTCTACTAGTCTGAATGAAAAATAAAAACTAAGAATTTATACCTCACAAATTATAGAAGGCAAAAAAAAAAAAAAAAAGAAGGATTGAATCAGTTCATAAAAAAGGGGAAAGAAGAAGAAGAAGAAGAAGAAGAAGAAAGAAATCCACCTGACGTTTAGTTGGTTATAAAAAAAAAACTTGTTGAAAGAACAGCTGATTTGAAAAGGTTGAAATGATTCATATCAATTGAAAAAATATATATATAGAAAACTAACCTTGAGTTTTGAGTTTATTTGAATTGGATTGAGTAATTGAGTTGAATTGAGACACAGGGAGTTGTTTGCATATGAACTAGCTAGCCTTATTTTTTGTTTTCTAAAAAGAGTATCTTATGGGGTAGAATTGGAAGCAGATTTTCAAAAATTCAAGATTTGAAATCACAGTTCATTTCAAATTCCTTGTTTTTTTGTTTTTTTGTTTTTTTTATACAGGGCTAAGGGACCGAAGATGAGCCTAAATCATTTACTCCTTCGTCGAACACTGAAGAATTTTTTGAGAATCAATGGCAACTTACTTCGTCAGCAATCGGCTGTCAACATCAATGTGACTCGCACTTTCATCACATCACCTTCATTTTCTTTGCTCGATCCACACTACGATTGTTATTCTTCAGTTCCTGTCAGGAATTTTGAGCTTGGAAAATCGAATTCAATTTTCAGTAGGTGCATTCACTCCACTGTAACTAAGTTGAGTGATGCAGCAATGGAGCCAAAACTTGAGTCTGCAGATGTTGAGGAAGATGACGGATCAATGAATGAGTTCTTATCCAGATTTGTCTGGATAATGCGCGGGAAGATTTCTGAAACATTTCCGGATTATGATAAGAAGACAGTAGATGCAATGCTTTTGATGATTGTGGAAAAACTAGTATCTGAAATGGAAAAGGGTAGCTTTGAGCAGTCATTAAAGGCTTCAACTGAGAATCGAGATTGGGACCTAAGTGAGGATTTGTGGAAGACAGTAAGTGAAGTTAGCAACATGGTTTTGGATGATATGAAGAAGGCTACAAAAAAGGAGAAAATGAAGGGTTTTCTGCTGTCTGAGGAAGTTCAAGAAATGTGTAGGTTTGCTGGGGAAGTTGGCATTCGAGGCGATATGCTGAGGGAATTTAGGTTCAAATGGGCCCGTGAAAAAATGGAGGAAAGCGAGTTTTATGAAAGTTTGGAGCAGCTCAAAAAAGAGGCTTGTACCCAGGAAGAAAACAACGATTCTCCGAGCAGTGTAGAGGCTGCATCCGAGGTGAAATCCGAGGCTGTTTCGCTTCCCAAAAGGCGAGGGAAGATAAAGTACAAGATTTATGGTCTTGATTTATCTGATCCCAAGTGGAGTGAAGTAGCAGACAAAGTCCATGAGGCAGAGGAGGTGTTATGGCCCCAGGAACCGAAACCAATTTCTGGCAAATGCAAACTGGTCACGGAGAGAATTCTTTCATTAAATGATAACGAAGACCCATCGCCATTATTGGCTGAATGGAAAGATCTTCTTCAACCCACTAGGGTTGACTGGATCGCCTTACTCGACAAATTGAACGAGAGTAATAGATTCTTATACTTGAAGGTAAAAAACATTTCTCTTATTTTCCCTTCTTGCCTTGTGTTATTGTCAATTTTATTGTCCATTTTAAATTTCACTCAGTTACCCTATTTATCTACACGTTGCTCGGTGGAACACTTTTGATTGCTGGTGTAATGCATTAGGATTTTTTATCAGTGAATCTTTTCTACTCCATGTCAAAACGAACGACATAACGTTGAAATTAGTAAGACCCTAAGTTTAATTTGTTGCTTATTATGAATGAAGGTTGCAGAACTTCTTTTGAGTGAAGAGTCTTTTCAGACCGACATCCGTGACTACTCTAAGCTTGTCGATGTCCATGCTAAAGAGAACCGCCTCGAGGATGCCGAAAGGATTCTTAAGAAGATGAACGAGAAGGGCATTACACCAGACATTTTGACAGCCTCAGTTTTAGTTCATATGTATAGCAAGGTGGGCAATCTTGATCGTGCAAAGGAAGCTTTTGATACCTTAAGGAGTCATGGGTTCCAGCCAGATGAGAAGGTTTATAATTCCATGATAATGGCATTTGTAAATGCTGGACAACCCAAGTTGGGCGAGTCGCTGATGAGAGAGATGGAAGCAAGGGACATTAAACCCAGCCAGGACATTTACATGGCATTACTAAGGTCATTTTCCCAACGTGGTGATATTAGTGGCGCTGGAAGAATTTCCGCTACTATGCAGTTTGCTGGCTTCTCGCCAAGTTTGGAGTCATGTACATTGCTCGTTGAGGCATACGGGCAAGCTGGTGATCCCGATCAGGCAAGAAACAATTTTGACTACATGATAAAAATTGGGCACCGGCCTGATGACAGGTGCACTGCAAGTATGGTTGCAGCCTATGAAAAGAAGAATCTGTTGGACAAGGCTTTGAATCTTTTACTACAGCTCGAAAAGGATGGATTTGAGCCCGGGGTTGCAACTTATGCCGTTCTTGTAGATTGGTTGGGCAAGTTGCAGCTGGTCGATGAAGCTGAGCAGATATTAGGCAAGATCGGCGCGCAGGGTGATGCCCTCCCTTTTAAGGTTCATATTAGCCTATGTGATATGTACTCGAGAGCTGGGATTGAAAAGAAGGCGCTGCAAGCTCTCGGGGTCTTGGAAGCTAAAAAGGAGGAGTTGGGACATGGTGATTTTGAGAGGATCATAAATGGACTCGTAGCAGGCGGGTTTGTGCAGGATGCTAAAAGATTGCAGGGTGTTATGGAGGCCCAGGGTTTCACTGCTTCCCAATCACTTCAAATGGCTCTGAGGACATCTCAAGCTCTTCGTGGCAGGAGACTGCCTTGAGATGCTTTCTCGACCATTTATAAATTTATTGAAAATTCGTTTCTACTGGCGGAAATGTGAATATTTACCATCAACTAGCATTCTATGGCAAAGCTAGTGGCTGGAAAGAATTGGCATCTCAGCATTTCTTTGCCAGGTAGTGTTATTTACCCTTGTTTTTCTTCTCCTAAATGCTTGCCCCTTGGATGTCATGTATTCTATGGCTACATTCATCATCCCTTGGTTCGATGTCAGGTATGCCGACGCATAACAAACCAACGTTTTCTGATTAATCATTTTTCGGTTCCTATTTGCTTCATGTCGTACCTCATGGGTTGGCTTAGTGATCAATAAGGGTCGTGGGTATAACAAAAGGTACATAGAGAGAATGAATTTAATCCATGATGGTCTCGAATATTGTCGGGTAAGGTGTATGCAAGCTTGTCGGGACATTCACAAATACGTAAAAAAAAGAGATGAAGGATTTCACGACATGCTTTTATAACTGGTTCTTTTAAATTTTATGCTTGTTTGCTTACATGGTATTCACTATCAGGTTCTTGTCTCTCAATAAAGCATGCTTTCTGTTACAGTAGGTACTGAATCATGTGTTCTTAAATTTTTAGAACTCGATTTTTAATACGATTCTCCTTTTATATACTCATTTAGTCGCTCGAGTTCCCCATTTTGCTGCTTTACCACTGCTTTGACAACATCTACTACAGAAATGATGCCAACTAGTTTGCCATCTATCACAGGAACATGTCTTATGCGATTCTCTGCAAATGCCAAGAACTTCATCTAGATTATTCTCTTCTTAGATGGTCGTTGATGCAGCTGGAGAAGGAGCTGACTTACATTTTATATGGTAAATTCAGAATCTAGAGGACACTGTTCTTAGTATTTTTACCTGTCATAAGCTGCATTGCTTTAAGGATGTTCGTGTCGGACGTTACGGTTACTAGTTTGTCCTGTTCGTGAAAATTAAAAATGTGTTAGTGAGAACTGTTGTTTGTAATCTGGTTTTGTAGCTGAGGGAAGACAGAAAATAACCTCACAAGTCATTATTTCCCCAACTTTTGTGTATATGGGACATCTCCCATCTGCTATTATCTTCTTCAGATAGTCTGGTTAGGAGGACCATAAAAATACAGCAATTACCAAGTTTATATTCATGGAATAGAGAACGAAAATTTTTAAAATCTTGATTTAATTTTTGGAATTTGCTTAGAATTCAAATGTGTTTTAGATGAAGGCAAAATTGTTATTTATTTAGTTTTTTTTTTTTTAGGAATCGATCATAATTTTAAATATTAATTTATAATGCTTTATGTGTAATTTTTTTTGTATCTTCGAACTTTCTCATTAGTATGCTCGTTCTATGACTAAAACATACTGGATAATGCCCCTACGGGGAACTTACTGGGCAATGGTAAGTTCGATATGGTGAGATAATGTAAAAATTAAGTATACTACGTGTCACAATCACACTTTGATGGCAGCGAACTTGATTGTGTGACACTCACTTCTAGCAACAAGTGACTTAAGCCTATTTGTTTTTGTGTCACTTACGGCCAAGCGACGTATGCTCGAGCCTCTGGCTTCAATTCAAGAAAAAAGTTTTAGAAAACGGGGTCGAGTCTCTGGCCCCAGTTCAAGAAGAAAGTTTTAGAAAATGGGGTAGAGAGATTTTGAAAGAGAGTGTAGAAGCGACGTATGCTCGAGCCTCTAGCCTTGGTTCAAGAAGAAAGTTTTAGAAAACGGGTCAAGCCTCTGGCCCCGGTTCAAGAAGAAAGTTCTAGAAAACAGGGTTGAGCCTCTGGCCCCGTTCAAAAAGAAAGTTTCCTCTATTATTATGTTATGATATTTTCATAATACTATCAGCATTTGTAATATTTTCCTATACTATCAGCATTTCAGTTACCTCCTTCCGTTACAATTCCGGCGATGTGTTGTCCTTCAGGCTTCAACACCACCAACGATCCAACGTTGTTTCTAGCCATCTGCAGCAAAGAAAAATTCCTCAATCTTCTCAACAAGAAAAGCTTTCGAGCTTTTTGGAAATGGCGAAACCGAATCAAACTCGCTACATTTTGCACGGTATCAATGGCCGCATCATCCGCGCTGCAGGAAAACCACGAGGAGCCAATACTTCCATCTCCATTTCTCGAAACGATCTCCGCCACGGTAATATTCTCCAAACCTTTCAGTGGAGAAGACGAACCTCTTGATTCTGATCCTTCCAAAATCTTTTCCACTTGATTCGTTTCTCTCCTACACGAGTGATGCGAGTTCGCGATCTTCAACGTCTCTTGCCACGATCGTATTGCTCTCACGATCCCCTGCATTTTGGATCTGTTTATCAAAGGTTCGAATGAAAATCGTTAGTTAATTCAAATATTTTCTTATTTGATTTATTTATGAGTATTGTTGAACGATATTTGATCGTCTCTGTTCAAGCGATTGAAGAAACTCGTGAAGATTAGCGCGGAAATTGACCTAGAATCTGGATTGGACTGTGATAGGAAGCTCCGTTGATGATGAACATAAGGTATGCTCTATATTCCATGGCGATTTGAAGTAGTATAAACAGGAATAACTTGCAATTATCATTCATCACATTAAGAAACTAATTTGATTAGTGCACATCATTCTTTGCTTTTGCTTTACATGAATGTCTTGCAATCATCGATCATGATCGATCTCATCATGAAACTAACTTTTCAATTAATATGGCTTCTAGTGAACATTCCTTACTTCAATAATCTGAAAATGAAGATGTATTTCTTATAAACCCGTGGTCATCTCTTTTGTTAGCTAATGTAAGACTCTCTCACAACAATCCTCAACATTTAAAATCGTAAAGTTTAGGATTAAAATCGTAAAGTTTAGGATTGGACGATGCTGTTGTTCGTAGAGAAGGCAAGAGCCTGCCATATTCTTTGTCCAACAGAAAGGTAAAAGAAAGCTAAAGAATGAAGCTCTTATGCAAAAGCTAATCCAAAAGTTGAGCAATGTTTCTTAAGTATCCAATGCCAAATTATATATAGCTTTGGCCAGGATGCCTTCAATCATAAACCCATCATTCCTTTACTCTCTGCATTCTCCTCCTCCTGTAAATGAGGCCATAGATGAAGCAGAAACTTCATCTCCCCCGGCCGATACCGTGCCGAACATTCGGCATCAATCAGTCCAGTCTCCTGAGATAAAACCAGAACAGCCTCCTTTAGCACCAGCTCAGCCACCTGAAAGAACTGAAACTATGCCTATGCCTATGCCGCCTCCTGCCAATGTTCGTTCTAAGTCACCATCACATTCTCGAGCGAAAAACCAAACCCGACTGGTTTCCAAGCCTCCATCGCCATCGAAAACAACCCCTCAATCTTCAGTTGACTCCAATAAGTCCCCATTAGTATCAGGCAAAGCCTCTCCATCTCAGGAGGCTTCTTCAAAGCCTCCATCACCGGCAGCTACAGCTCCTCGACGCCGAATTGTTTCAAAGTCACCGTCTCCGTCGTCGCAAGCATCACAATCAAGATTCACAGCTGATTCTCAGCCTCCATCATCTTCAAGATCAGCATTTTCACCTCAAACTTCATTAGAAAACCAGCCTGAAACCAAGGAAGACCTGACATCTAAGAACAATTCCAATCCCCATTCGAACAAGAACTCTTCTAAAACCCCAATCCAATCGGATCAAACCATAGAAAATGGCTTAGAAACCTCTCCAGAATCACAGGAACAGTCAAAAGAAACTAAGGAAAATCTGGAAAAGGACTCCAAACAGGAAGAATCCATGGAAGACTTAGCCAAAGCTTTTCAGAAACTAAACATCAAATATTCAGACAAAGAAAACCCTAAGAGTTTCACAACACTCATAGGCAACAACAAAGGGGCATCAATGCACTTACTCTCCGGCGAACCCAAAGCCGATAGTTCAATCCACATCCACCGCCAGTATAAGAACAATCCAGTTCAAATCGCTAAAAGTTTCACAGAAATTGAAGGAAATTTCAATCATAAAACACCCCAAGATTCAAGAACAGAAGAGAATCCAGTCCAAAAGTTATGTATCAACATCAATGTTCAAGATATGAACAACTCAATCATGTTAGATAGCTCATTTACTGAGAATGATCCTGGAATCAATTTGAAATTCCCTCGAGAATCAACAAAATCCAAAGATGAATTACAGGTTGCAAAACCTGCCCAGAGGGTTACCCATGAACCCGCTGTAAGACGAAGATGCCTGAGAGGGCTGTTAATGGAGTCGAGCGATTCTGAGGTTGACAACCCAGAAAAGCCCCGACGCCATGGCTGCCGCTACTCTCGTGGCTGCAAAGGAAAAAATGTCGAAACTCTGTAATCTCCATTGCTTCTGGGATTTTAGTTTCTGTTTTTCAGCATCTTAAGTGGTTGAAATTTCTGGGTTTTGTGGGAGTTTTGAGCTTTTATGGAGTTCTTCTTCCCATTTGGATTGTACTCTGTTCTTGAAAGATTGAAGTTAAATACAAGATTGTTCTCATCTTGCACATGGATTCTGCCATGAAAATTATACCCAAATCTTCGGAACTAAAAAATATTTTCCTTTATATTTTATACTCCAAAAAAAAAAAAAAAAAAGAGAAGAAGAAAAAAGCATATGATAATACAATAGCCATCGCCTTTATTTTGAATCTAGAATTTGAAATAGTTGTATTAATGAAAACTCTCCCATACATACACACCACCAACAAGAACAGCTTAACTACCATAGAAATATAGAAATATGGTGATGTGAATGATGGAAAAATAAGTAATAGAAAGAACATTTCTTGTTCCTTCTTCTGCAATCTTAAATATAAAATTTACACTTTAAATATAAATTTAGAATTTTAATAGAATAAATCTATAAAATTCAACGTTCATATCAATTAATTTATTAGTTTAAAGTTCAAATTAGTCCATTGAAAAGTTTGTCATTTTTCCTTTTTTTTTCTACTCCTTTTTAATTAGAATATCATATAGTAGTTGAAACTTCAAAATCAACCTCGTTAATAAAAAAAAGTATGCTTGAAGTGATTTTTCGAATTTGTTTTTTGTGCTTTTGTAACGATTTTTTTTTTGTGAAGGTTATGATAGTAATCAGAGTAATTTTACGAAAATTTAAGTCTTGATCGAGATGGCGTCGAACAATAATTCTAAGGATGAATTTATATTGATAAGGTCGGGTTTACTTCGAGAAAAAAATTATTTTAAGTGAAAAAAAAAACAAAAACAAAAGGCGTTGGCTTTTTGTCAAATCACTTTAACGAATAACATTACAACTGGCGTTTGTTGTTTTAAAATAATACAAATTGCTTCTTTATCAATTCTAAATGGTTTGTCCATTTTATTATTAATTATTTATTCATTTCTTTATAAATTAATTACTCTTCATGCCCCACATTTTCCTTAATAAAAGCTTTTTTACCATGCTATATTTATTTATTTGATTCATAAGCTTTACTTTAATATCAATTTTCTTCATCATAGGTAAATTTTGAGGTAATAAAAAACACATCATGATTCCACAATTAGTCGATAAATTTTGATTTTAATGTTGATAAAGCATATCAATTCGATTATTCTTATATTGATATTTAATATCTAATAATTATTCAAAATTTGTCTGATTTTAATTTAAACTTGCAAGTAATTTTGTTTAATATAAATTATTTGATAAATTTTTAGGAAACTAATTTTTAAAATTTTGTTAATGATATTAATTTTTAAGAAAATTGATTTAAAAAGCTTTGATTTTGCACCCTACAATCAATTGGAAAAATGAATCTTATTATTGATTTTGATCCCTCTTAAACAGGTTGTTGAATTAGGTTGGATTAAAACTCGAACGGGTGGTTGAATTAGGTTGGATTATAACTTTGTGTCGGTAAGTTTTTGTTTTAATAATTTGAATCTTTATAAATTCTATTAGTATAATAATTAAAATAAAATTTGTTGAGAAATTAGAAGGAAAATGAATAATTAAATCATTTCAGGAGAATTATTAGCATCACAAAAAAAAAAGAAAAAAAAAGTAAACTAATTAAATTATATTTAATAAATAAGTCAACAAATTAATTTCCTATGTACGTAACATTAGAATAAATGGCTTAGAGATAAGAAAGAACAGTAAATAGAAAACCAATACATTTATTTAAATTTTCTTTAATTGCTTTATAGCAACAAAGAACAGGTAAAATATTTACAAACAATTTCCTCTTTCATTTTTTTTTAATTTACCAAAAAGGTCAAAATAATTTTTATTTTTCCAACAAACAATATGGTGATTTTTTTTTTAATTTTAAAATAAATAAAATATTCAGAGACTGAATTATATCCTACCAGCCTTAATTACTGTGCCTCTTCCAATCCCTTCAACATTGTCAATATGACTTTCCCAGCACCAGCCATGAACCTCCGAACCGGAACGGCGGCACCCGGAGGCGTAGTCGGAGACGGCGACAGCGACGGGGCTGTAATGGGAGTGGGAATCATCGGCGGTGTGGTTTGTTGTTCAGCCAAAACTTTCAACATCTGAAATTTTCTGGTCAACCCCACAACTTTTCTACTCATTTGAAACCCTCCATTTTCGCCATCTGCAAAACAGAGAAAAAAAAAAAGGTAAAAAATGAACACAGAGCTATATAGAAAAATGGAAGAAGAAGAAGAAGAAAGGAGAATGTATGTTACTAAAGGGGAGTTGACCGGTGACCGATGAGGGATTCGAAGTGTCGGAGAGGAGGAGGAGGGCGGGAGTGAGGATGGTGAGGAGAGACCAGAAGAAGAAGATTAACACATAAGCTCGAGGGTTCATTGGTTGTTGGGAGAGGGGAGAGGACAGCAGACGGCGGACGGCGGCGGACGGCGGCGGTGGGGGGTGGGTTCAGCTTCAAAAGGGATATCTTTTCTTTTATGCTTTAAAAGCCAAAGGCAAAGGTAATGAATTAGCTGGCCATGGGGTTATGCTTATTGCGTATGTAACAATTTTTTATTTTTAATTAATCTAATAAGAGAAGTCAAGTTAGTTAGTTGAGAACTACCTGTTGGGAAGGTTTCCATCACTACTTAATAACACAAGTGGATGGATAATCTTTTTTTTCTTTTTTTTCAAGAATTAAATAAGTTATTATTATTTTCTTGGGTTTTTTCTTTTGGGTGTTTCCTTCTCAAAGAGAGTTATTGTTTCTAGCAATTAGGTCATTTTGTTGGTCAGAGGAACTGGTTTTGATTCCTTTGGTCCGCTAATTTTCATGCTATTCTCTTCTTCTTAGAAGTTTTCTATTCATGGGCTTCACCGAAAAGGAGTGAGAAATATTCAAATTTCTAACATATTTACCAAAATGAAAGATAAATAAAATATAATGGAAACTTGTTTGAAATAAAATAAAGCAGTCCAGAAGCACGCCTAGATTGTTTAAAAAAACAGACAAGAAGCAGCAATTCTCGAACCTGGGAGAGCCCAGAAGGCCAGTTCCATGTCTTCTTGTCTTCTTGTCTTCTTGTCATCGTCTCAAACAAAACAACAAACATTATCACTTTGCCATTTTAGAGCAAAAGACTGACAAGAAAACGAGAACCCAATAAAAATATTAATTGGACATTTCATTTTTCCCCATCAGAAAAATAATAATAAAGATACAAACGAAAAATTATATGCCATATTCTATAGTAATAGAGCCTATAGTCCTAAACAAGATAAACACGAAGAAAAACTAAGTATAGGATGTGTTGTGGTCTACAGGGAAATGAGAAAAACCTATTACAACATCCACATTACCACCAGAAGCCTGAATTCGTACTTGTCAAGAAGCACGTGCTTGTTTAGGAAACCCGAAAGAAGAATGCGAGTGCTGCACACTTTGTCTACTATTAACCAGAGGGGCAAGATGAAACTTAGTCTCTTGAAACGCCACTGCTACTTGCAGAAGACCTCTTTCCCGAATATCTCTGCCACAAAGCAAAGGAGAAAAGTTACATAGTTACAATATTTGGCCCGAGAAGCAGGAGCAGGATGGGTGTTCAACGACTACTGGAAAAAGGTTCTATCTCTCTGTGAGAGGATGTGCTGATGTGGAGTACATGGCTACAAGCTCACCAATAACAGATATTGTTCTATTTGGGCTTTTCCTTTCAGGCTTTTCCACACCCTTATAAAGAATGTTTCATTCTCCTCTCCAACCGACGTGGGATCTCACAATCCACCTCCCTTTGAGACCCAACATCCTCGCTGGCACTCATTTCCTTCTCCAAACGATGTGGGGCCCCCTAATCCATCCCTGTTTTAGGCCTAACATCCTCGCTGGTACATCACCCGGTATTTGGTTCTGTTACCATTTGTGACGACCCTAAGCCCACCGCTAGCAGATAATGTCCTCTTTGAGCTTTCCCTTTCGCACTTCCCATTAAGGTTTTTAAAACACATCTACTTTTCCTCCCCAACCAACGTGGGATCTCACACACTCTCTTTTTTTTTGTTTTTTTTCTTTTTTCTTTTTCTGGGGGCAGGAGGGGTGCTACTGATTTTTGGCCAAGTTCTCCATCTGGAGGGGTGTGCTCTCTGTATCTATGCGCTGCTAAATGACTATTTACTAGCTAAGTTCATGTTGCCTAACCTGTTTTCCAATGCTGAATGGAATATATTTGTATTTGATCATGTGCATGATTTGGCGCTTCATTGTCAGGACAAATAGAACAATCCAATAGCAAAGAAGAATGGGCCAAAAAACCGGAACATCAAAGAGTGAGAAGAAAGTCATGAAGAATGCAATACAAAAAGCTTTGGTGATGGCGTACCTGAAAATAGAAAGGGAAAAAAGGTTTAAGAGTTCATTTAGTAATCAACACAACTAAATGATATCAGTATCTGATACTGCACATTTCACTCCAACATCATGCAATGATAAGAATTTGCTATAATTTGACACTTGAATAGTCATAAGAGTCCACTGTAATCATCAAAGCAAGCCAGTATGTAATGCTGCACAACTCACTAACAGTATGTAATGCAGTAATACTTCACAATTCAATTAATGTCCATCCCCAAGAAATGCCAAGTGTATAAAATAAGGATGACAATTGACAAGAAAAAACGCATGTCCATGCAATAACAAGTTTTTTGCAATATGTTTACACTTGGAAAGGAGCAACTTACAAAAAAACGTTAATTCGGATATATCTTCCAAATATAAAGCCTGAAATTTATACGAGCCTAAAAAATAAACATAAATCTTTTCCAAGTGCAAGTTATATATAGATAGGTATAGATATACGCGAATTGTTTTGATATAACTTTTTTACAGACTGGGTGATGTCCTTGGAACTTTATCTAATACAATTAACTGCATTCCAATTACAACATTTCGAAATAAAGAGCGAGAAAAGAATACCAAGTGCTTCATCATATGGTAGTTTCCAGCAATGAAATCTTTTCAATTATTGCTAGAAAAAACCAGAACAAGTTACTTGATAGCTAGCCAAAGCCATTTCCAATGTTAAACGCAATGAAATTTCAATCGAAGTTATCAAAGTAGCTAAAGGAAAGAGGAATACCAAAACTTGAACTCCGGAAGTCGGCGTATGAACGGCCTAAACTCATCAGAACCTTTAGTAGGCAAGGAAGCTCCTTCTAAGACGTCGAGTTCAGGATCAACCTTGGGCGATAGAAAGCCAATCAAGAGATTCAAGATATAGATTCCCAAGCCATATGAAACAACATAAAACCCTTGAACATAGAAAACACGCAACACATAAATTGCTGCAACAAGAAGGGTTCCCAACCACCTCTGGACAGGGTGAGGAGTGGATCGATCCAAGTAATACTGAAACGCTCTGGCAAAATCGTTTCTCCACTTGGCCAGAGGTGCTACTGCAGAGGCCGCGTCGTCCCCAACTCCTTCCATAAAAATATATCCGCTAATAAATCCTTCAAATCATAAAAGGAACGGCATTAGGATAATAAAACACGATCAACAGCAGAATAAGAGCATCAATCTCATCAATTGCCCAGAACAGCAAAAGTCAAATGAATTGTGAATCTACAGCTTCCTTTCATTTTTCATAACCAGAAACGAAATGGCAGTATCCGAACCATTATCAATCGAAGTCCGAAAGCAGTTGGCTTATAACAACAGAAATGGAATCGGAGATGGCAAAAGTTCAGGAGAATTAGGGTTCAGAAAACAAATTGAGAAAGAAGCAGAAACCGAAACCTAACCTTGAAAACCCGAAAAGCAAGGGGAAGAACAGTAAATGGATGAGAGAAGAGAACAGAAGAATTGAATCCGTATTAGGGAAGTAGCAATGATTAATGAAGTCGATTCCGTTGCCCCGTTTCTCAATCGCTTCGATTTTCTTTCCAAGCTCCCTCTACGATAAAATATTCCCCCTATTTTTCAACAGAAATTCTTTTCTTATTTTTAATATTATTTTCCTATTATGATTTCTCTCTNATTGATGGAGGTATAAAAAAAAAATGTAGTAGGTGAAGACCCGGACCCACTCAATTCAACAAGCTAATGGGTATGATGGCTATGGCGTTGCCGAAATGTAGAATTGGTCCTCGATTGGTGGCGGTGGGTGCCGGTGGATTGAGTTCGTCCTGCTCATACCTGCCCCCAACTGTCTGGTTGCTTTGCGTGCAAATTTAATCGCCCACAATTTTGACTTTTTCATTCAACACCATCCTTACAAAATTTGCCCACATCCAGAGGAGCTGTTGTTTTTCTGTTCTTCATTTCTTCTTATTTGGTCCTTGTTTCTTCCTTATTTTTATCGTGAGTTGAAGAATTTGATCTGCATGGTATATATAAAATATTCTTAAAAACCTTTTGAAATGAGGTATATATAAAATATTCTTAAAAGAAAAACAAAACCCTAAATTCTATTTTCCCCGGTTTTTTTCTTCTCCCTCTCACTGCAGTAGCCGCACATCTGCACCCTTTCTTTTAGCTCTTTCCTTCGTCTTTCATATACCCTCCCTTCCACAACTCAAACCGGCCCCTGTGCAGCATTCTTGTACAACAGCCAATCGTCGAGGTTCGTTTACACTCTCATCTTCCGTAACCCCGTTCTCTCAGTGGATCATAGTTCGCAAGGTTTTTTTTTTTTTTTTTTTTTTTTCATTTTTTTTATCTCCAGAAAATGATTTAATTAAGTTAACAAAATGAATTTAAACCGGGATTTGTAGTCCATTATCATCCATTTATAATACTCCGTTCATCTTACGAGAATACCTATAAAACAAGTCCTTATTAATTTATTTTTTTATCACAATCTTTTGTTGTTTTTGATTTTGATCTCACTGATATATTATCTTATATTCAGTATATTTAGCCATGTTATGTCTTGTGTGTAGTAAAGAAATAGGGAGGCTCCATTTGAGTAAAGAACTATTTAATTTTGAAAGACGTGTTAAAAGATCACTAGGGTCAAGTTCAATAATTATATTAGTCAAGCTCAATGATGGTTTCAGACCATAGAAATATCATTTCTTTGTTAGATGAATACGTTCTCTACAATTGTATGATATTGTCCATTTTAAGTATAAACTCTCGTGGCTTTGCTTTAGACTTCTTCGAAATGACTCATATCAATGAAAAAAGTATTCCTTGATTATAAATCCATAATCATTCCCTAAATTAACCGACGTGGACTTTCATCTAACCCTCTTTACTATGTTTGTCTTCAAATCTCAAAAAATACCCATATACCCTTCTTCCATCCTCACTATTGAGGAGAATATTTTTCACATAAAGTTGAAATAATTGGTCCATTTATATTTGTTGCGATAGAGAGTACCTGAAGAGTATTTAACCATCCACATCCAACCAATGCCTTTTTTAAGAGCTTGTGACTCCTCTAGAGTGGATGCTTTCCATTGAGCTGTCTTCCTAAAGCTTCTTGAACTGTGTTGGGAGTTTGTGTTCAATCTAAGTGTGGTCACAAAAGCTCGTATACACTACTTCTGTCATCTCTTGCATCATTCCAAGGACTTGAGGATGTTGGTTTCCATCAGCTTGTGTATCTGCAAGAATAGCTTCACCACAAAAAGTTATCAAAACATGAGAGGTGAACATTAGTGAACATACTACTTCAACTTCAACAACTGTGTTGGCATTAATTGGAGAGGAGAACGAATCATTCTTTATAAGGGTGTAGAAACCTCTCTCTAGTAGACACGTATTAAAACTTGAGGGGAAGTTCAAAAGAGAAAACCCAAAGAAGATAAAGTTCAGATTTCCCAAGACAATAGTATTACATCATAACAAGATTAACTCGATGATGTTCTTGTTTGCACAATCTTTCATCTCATTTATGTAGAGCTTAATGTTTGTTCCTCTATGGGGCATTGTATGGCTTGCAGGGGTGTCAAGGCAATAGTTACTATTACCTCCTCATGTAACGAATACTTAGTTTAGTAGTTACGTCTCAGCTATATATTGTTTAGCAGTGATTGTTTATCACCGTACTCGGCAGTTGGTACTCTATAAATACCATTGCTCTTGAACACTTTTACCTATAATAACAATTCTCCTTGATCTGTTCAATATTTCTCTAGTCTCTTTCACTTTGTCAAAGTCACACTTCAAAAGAACGTAATTGGTATCAAATGTAGAAAAGCAAATACACAAAAAACAAAACACAAAACAGAAGGTGCTACTTCGTCTTAAACACTCTTTACAACAACCCTATCAAATAAAATCTTTCTAAATATTACCATTTATTTTTAAGAACAGTGATCCAAAATCAACAAAATCTTATTCTCGAGTAAACTCCAGCTAAAATGGTTAGACTGTGTGGGATGTTAATTAGATAGCTAATTACAAATCTAACTTATTATCGTCCTTAGTATTTTTTTAGTATATTTGTGAGTCTTTAGACTAGTTTGCCTGGACTATTTCACTAGAAAACTACCTTAATTACCATATTTAATTGACTAAAAACTTGTAGAATATTAGATGCTAAGAATATGACGGTTCTACTAAGCCTTTTATTACTTACCCTCAGGTCTGAATCATCACTAGGCAGTTTACAGATCTAACTTGTTAGATTTCTAGTTCTCACAGTAAAATGTTCAATAAAATGCATTTACTTCAAAGCCATCTCATTTAGAATGAAGTTACCAATATAAAATTAACTTTTCAAATTTTCATGGGTAAGAGTGTCCAGAGAACGTAAAAGCAGAGTCGGAGTGCACTCCGGAAAAAAAGGTAGGAATTTTGTATAATTCAACCAAAAGGGGACCTATACAATTATTCTTACTATTGGCAGTTAAAAACGATAAAGCATATATACTTCCAGAATAAAATCAAAGAAATGCAGCCAAGTTGTGTTAATTAATAATAAGAGAAATATCGATTAAATCATTGCCCAACATGTTAAGAACTTTTTATTCCTGCTCAAACATTTCACTATTTACATCGATAGTTAAAAGAAAATCATATTGGCCTTTTCTTTCTATCCTCTGGAATAATCAAGCATGAAGGATTTCTCAATATAGATTCAAAATTATAATTGTGCCTAGAAGGATTCCATTAGTTGAAGATTCTTCTCAAAGAGGGAGATTTATCAAAGCCAATGCAAGTTTCTACAGAACAGTTAAAAAATATCTGGGATTAAGCTTTTAAATTCGTGACTAAATATATATTTTGGTTAAAGAATGGTTAAAAAAATTAAGAGTATTAATGAAAATTTTTTAATTCAAAATTATTTTTTAAACATTTTTTTTAAATTTAGAAGTATTTTTGAAAAAATGTATAAAGTTGGCCCATTCAAAGCCACGGCCGTAGAATAACATTTGCTACTGCAAGCAATATATTTTTAAAATTTCCAGGAAATACTTTGGTCTAAATAATAGTGCTATTAAATATAAATTTACTCCAAGTGGAGCAACAAAACTAAATCCAATGGAATCAGATAAATAGATTATATAACATATAGACGGATTTTCTTTTTAAGAAAAGGTGTTGCATACTTCGAGAGGCAATCTAGAGATGTAGTTGACTAGCATATTGGCCAAAAAGTTGCATATTTTTAATTACTTCTTACTTTAAGTGGACTGTTTGGCCGTTTAAGATTGGAACCTGAATCTTAATCTAGTGGGCTACTACAACCTCTTTAGCACTGACTTACGAACCACTTTCCTAATAAGACAATCTTTTAACTAATATTTTTCTATATATTTAGGCTGTTCATGAACTCTAATATATTTTGAACCAAAGGTTTTAATAGTTTATGTAATTAATTTTTTTTATGTATTATTTAACCCATTAGTTACTGTACATAATGGGGAGAGGGAAATGCAACATCAAGAGAGCAATTAGATTGAAAAAAATAAACAATAATAATAAATTCCAACAAAAATTATTCCTAGGGAAAAACCAAACGCTTATGACCGAATAAAAAGATTAATAAAAAATAAAAATAAAGATAGCACGCAAACATTTTTCAGTAATAAATGAATGAACAAGAACCATTTCTTTTTATATAAAATTTAAGAAATAAAATAAAATATTTTAAAGCGAAAGATTATATGTTTATAAAGTACGAATAAATGTATAAAAATAAAAAATAAAGAAAGTCAGTCCTTACATATTATTTCTTTTTAATCGATAAATAGATATGTATGCGAACAAGATTTCCCAAGTCCGAAATAGGACTTTTTTTTTCAAATAATTAATGAACCAACAAGAACCAAACTATTCTTGAACAACAACAATAATCAAGGCCGCACAATTTGTTATATAAAATTTGGGAAATAAAAGTGAAAGGCTAAACCCACAGTACTTTTTAGATTCTTGTGTCAATTTTTCTTTCTCCACTTCACATCCCTGAAAACTTTTTTCTACTTCGCATCCCTAAAAAGTTTCCATTGCTAAAGAGCCTATCGAATGGGGGCATTCTATAGGCTCTTTTAAAAGTTTATTTGAACATCAAAGCTAATGTTGCAAAAAGAGCTAGTACCAATGGTGGCCGTTTTTTCCGGTATAAAAAAGTAGTGAAAGATGGTCCTACCGTTCTTGGCTTAAATTTATTGCAAGTGGCAGAAGAAAATATGCAAGGAGCGCGAACCAACAATCCAAAGACCCGCTACAGGGAGGGAAGGTGGAAGTTTTATATTGAAAGCAGCATCTGTGTGTTATTTCTTAGGCTAAGAATTGGATCTAATCCCTCCACCAGCCTATAAATTCTCAAGAATTTCCCATTGCTGATGACGTGATGATATTATAAGAGACAAAAAACAGTGTTTGAAAAGATTTTACGACCCGCTTGGTCGGTCACTTGCATTACCACAGGCAAAGGGAATCACCCTAAAACGTATTCTTCAACTTGTTTAATCCCACTACCATCACCTTGAGTGTATAAGAAGCACTCAGAACCCACATTTTCACACCATAGCTTGACTTAGCCATCTCTTAAAAGGGAGCCCAGGTCTCCTTACCATATTTTTTGTTCCCTGCGGCTTTCTTTGCAGCATTTTCACCTACTTAGATCATCTAAGCCGTTCAAAGCTTTCCATCCTAACTTCATTTATACAATGGCAACAAGCCCTTTTAAATCTTCAGGCAGTTCTAGCTCCTCGTGGACGCCTAAGCAAAACAAAAAATTTGAGGACGCTCTGGCTTTATATCCCGAGGACACACCAGACCGGTGGCAAAAGGTGGCCAGGACAGTGGGTGGAAAAACAGCTGAGGAAGTAAAAAGGCATTATGATATCCTGGTGCAAGATCTCATGCATATAGAATCTGGAAAGATACCTCTCCCCAACTACAAGCCCATTGTATCCAACGGTACAGTGTATGGTGATGAGCAGAGGTACCGAGCTTTCTACTCTTAGGCGTCTTTTTTATGTCACATGTCAAGTCTCTATCCTACTTTCATTCTCGTTAAGTCATCAAGATCTCTGAGTATTTAGCTCATAGGGGAAAAGACCTTCAAAATAACCTGATTCATCTTTGCTAGGAGAACCAACCTCCCAAAAGAACTCGTAAGAGTAGAACTATATATATTTATTTATATACCATAAAACTTTCCTTTCTGAGCAGATGTTAGACATGTTTGCTACCCAACCATCCTCAATTCACTTTTCATCATTTATGCATTGAAAGTCCGAAGTTGTGGTCGGGTTTCTAATGTTAAATGAAAGTCTCATATCGACTAATTTAGAAAGTAATCATAGGTTTATAATCAAAGAATACTATCTCCATTGGAACGAGGCCTCTTGGAGAAGTTCAAAGCCATGAGAGCTTATGCTCAAAGTGGACAATATCATACCATTGTGAAGAGTCGTGTTCATCTATCATCTAGTAGTTCCAAGAATGACTGCAAGGTTATCTAAAAGGAAATAATCATTCCCAAATGAATTTCTCCAAACAGTACGTGGGCGGAGGAGAGAAAGAAGATGCTATTTCATCTTCTTACAAAGTAGCTTGTCCGCGTATCCTAATGTACCACGCTCTCTTTTCCAACTCAAGTAGCTGCAACTTAAACCCAACACCGACAACTCTCATAAAAAAAAATTTGTTTTTATAAGGCTTCATGCTATTCCTATTCATGCATTCTCACTTCCCCTTTCTAAGAAAAAGACAACGTGAAACCGAATCTCCCATGCTTTAAATTACATGCACATGGTCCTGTATTTCTGAGTTCAGACATCTACGTATTTATAAATCCCTTCTTTAACATTTGGATCTACCTCAGTACTAATTAAAGAACTTTTAAGCTAACGTGGGTTGTGTTAATTAAACATCAAGTAGGCCCAAGAACTCGCCGTGAACTATACCACTGCCTCCTATATTCACATTTAGAAACATTTAACTAATCTTTCTATCGTTCTCTTTGAACTATTGCAGGCTCATGAAGAATCTAAAGCTCCAATAAAGAAGAGGTATTATACCGATGATATAATAAGAGCTGCAGAAGCGTTGTTCTCGATAATTACGAGAATATGCTTGGTGTCAGTGTTTCTCTACTTTCCCGCTCTGTTTGTCCTTTCAAGCATATAATGCTAACCTGTGAAGCCAACTAAACTATTGTAAGCCTTAACCTGTTTGTTCAAGTACCCGATAATGCTGCTTTTGTGTACTAGTGTGAGTACTGTTTCATTCGCTTTCCAATCATTATAAAGGAGCATCTTGCACCCATATTTTTGCATCACAATCGAACTACAGAGCATAAAAAATTCACAAATATTTATAAAAAGGTTTGTCACCTGACAATTCGAACAGTAAAAAGATGATGTATCACAGAGTGCACCAATTATTTCAAAAGAAAAGAATATCATGCCATATATATGTTTGCTTTTTTTGTTTATATCTACAAATGATACTCCTATTCTACAGGCTAGCAAATGTTATTGTTACGTCTAATCAGTATAGAGTGGAGGGATCAATTCAATTATTTACTCACCAGCGTTTCATCAGCCAAGTGATCAACAGAACATTTAGAGCAAGAATAATAAGTGAACAAACGAAAAATAAATAGTGATTGAAGAGTCATACCGTAACTTGTTGATAAGTGTTATGTAAATTTGAGACAGAATGAAATAGCTTCTTTACTAAAATCTGTGCAAGAAGATGACCGTCAAACCACTTCAAAATTCTGAGGTAAAAAAGAAACAATAAATTTTGAGGAAGGTTATGGATCAATGATTCAATACCAACTTCAAGCCGAACAATTACCAAACAGTCATGGAACTGAGCTCTATTTCGCCGACCTGTAGACAAGGTTGCCGCATGTAGATCGTGATAGCAGAGATGAGTAACTTTTCTGATAAAATGGATTCAAATGACAGATCGAACATTTCATCCTGAGTTGAAAAACGAACAACAGTTTGAGAAAAATGTGAATGAACATAAATTTCGATGTGAACAGACATCAAGAACCAGAAATACACGGAACTGCTATATATGATACGGACCTGTAGACGGTGAAAACAGGACGAGAGTGCAGTATGAACGCCAAGAATCCAATGGACTAAACAACGTTGAACTAGTAGCAGATGAAGCAACAATGAGGGCTTGGAGGAAGAAGCCATTGAAAGGCACAATAAGCTCGAAGCAGAAGGTGGAGATGGAAGAAGAGACGATGGATTTGTATTGATTCTTCTCTCGATTAGAAGAAGACGAATTGGCGGGAAAGTGAAGTGTGGCGCGCCAAGACGTTCAGGTCTCCCTTTTGTTGATAGCTTGGGAAGCCAGCTTAAAATCCTGACCGTTGGTCATGTATACAATTGGAAATTTATCTGACGATTAGATCTCGGCCGTTGATTACGGCAACATAAAAACAGAGAAATGGAAGCTTACAGAAACTAGTTTCTTCTATTTCGCTTCTTTCCCTGCGGCTCTCTTCAACTTTCTCCTTCTCTCAAGCTAGGGCAAAGTAGTATTCTCTCTTCCGTTCTTAATAGATTTTGCGCTCTTCTTCTTGTGCATTTGATTCTTGGAATGAGTTTTCCAAAATTTCTTCTAGTATTTTGATTCTCCTGCTGTAAATTTTCTTCGCTTTTGGGTTTGAGTTTGGGATTTTTATATTCGGTGATTGATTTAGGCGCTGCTCGTTGTATTATTTAGCTGATATTCTCGTTCAGTATATGTTGTGTGTAAATTCTCTTCAATTTTGCGTTTGATTTTAGGTTTGCGTCTGTTACCTGTGTATTGAATGGCTGATTTTGGCTCTGTTCAATGTATTCTTTATCTGTAAATTCTCTTTGATTATGTTTGATTGGGGCTCTGTTCAATGTGTTCTTCAGCTGTAAAATCTCTTTGATTATGTGTTCTGTGTCGATTCTCTTCATTTTTTGGGTTTGGATCTGTTTTCTGTGTATTTGGTGGCTGATAATTTCCCCTCTGTATCTGTCTTTTCAAGCATTTCAGCTTGATTTGGATCTTCGCTTAGTTGCTGTCAAGAAACGCAAGGCAAACTCCAGCGGCTAAGGAACACTCGTGTATTCAGGTCTGTTTACAAGTTACTCAGTTTTTTGCATCAATATTTGGCCATGGATTTAGGGATTGCTCATAATATTCAGCTCAAAATTTCCATCCATATTTGGGGGTATTTATGAACACTACTCTATATGGTAGATTATAAACACAGCTCTTATAAAGAAATGGAGATGCAGGGTATCGATCCCCGTACCTCTTGCATGCTAAGCAAGCGCTCTACCATATGAGCTACATCCCCAATTCAATATTCAAATATATGGGAAACACAAGGCAAACGACATACTCTAACGGCTAAGGAACACTTGTCATAATCAGGTTTGTTTACAAATTACGTCGTTTTTTATAAATTCTATATTCATGTTATGAACCGTGGCTCGTACAAAATGGAGAGGCAGGGTATCAATCCTATACCTTGCATGCTAAGTAATCACTCTACCATATGAGCCACATCCCCAATTCATTATTCAACAATATGTGAAACAACACAAGGCAAACGACAAGGCAAACGACATGGAGATGTGGGGTATTGATTCTCGTACCTCTTGCATGCTAAGCAAGCACTCTACTCCCAATTCATTATTCAAATATACGTGAAACACAAGGCAAACGACATGTTCCAACGGCTAAGGAACACTCGTCATATTCAGGTTCGTTTATAAGTTACTCAATTTTTGCATCAATATTTTGGCCATGGATTTAGGCCTTTGAATTTGATCCAAACCCATCTAAAATGGAGATGTAAGATGCAAGATACAAAGTATCAATCCTCGTATCTTTTACATGCAAAGCAAGTATTCTAGCATATGAGCTACATCTCCAATTTGTTATTAAAATATATCATTTGCATAATTATAAAATTCAATAATTTAAATTGAATAAATGTTTTTAAAAAATTATTTTGATCCTAAATTATTTGATTTACTTATTTAAAAATATTCCACCCATAAAATTGTTCTAAACGTGATTCCTTAAAAAATACCATGGTAAGTAATTTGTTATTTTGCTTCATTTAGTAAATATTTAATTTTTAATTTTTAAAATATGGCCGTTTTATTAAAATTTATTTGCATGAAGTATACATTTAAATGTATAGCAAAAATTCATAAACAAGATAATTTTTTTAATTGAATTTTGATTTTGAAAACACTCAAATAAAAGTGATAACATTTTATTAAAACCATTAAAAAGTATTTTTCTGAAAAAAAAAATAGAGTTTTACAATTATCAATAATTAAATAACCAAAAAGTAAAGATTTTAAATGTTTTTTTAAAATAAAAAATTGAACCTTTCACAATTTTAATCTGTATAATACAACTCCCAAATTATCAATAATTAAATAAACCAAAAAGGCTGAAAATAACAGGTTGAGGTTTGTTTAAAAAATATTATAATGTTCCACGTCATAACTACCCATCATTTATAAGATGGGTTCGATATTTTCCGACACATAAATCTAATGTATCTTATCGTTTAATAATAATATTGCCATGCATAGATTATTTTAATAATTACAATGATTATTATTATTATTTTCTTCTACCTACTTACTAAATATTAATTTTAAAAATAGCATTAAAAAATAACCATAAAAACCAAACCATCTATGAACTTTTTAAGTTTAAAAGTATTTTGTAGGTTGATAATATTTTTATTAATTTAGTAATATAATAAATATATATATATATATATTCTTTTTTTTTTCTTTTTTTTACATTCAAACGAGGTGAAATCTCGGGAAAATAAATTTAAAAAAAAGCATGGAAATTAGTGCAAAAAATGATGGATTTGGGGAACAAATCTAGAAGAAAGTAGGGTGAGTTCAGCATTTCTGCAACGATTATCAAATTAAATAAACAGAATAATCTTTCACCTACTCATCTTCGCAACGCCGCCGCCACACTGTGATTGTCGTCGCAGAGACTACTTCCGCCGCCGACTCCTCCGCCGCCTTCAACGTGTGAGACCAATACTCTACGAGCCCTTGTCACTTGCTCTTCAACAGATGGATCATAAAACCACCGTCTGCAACTTCGTCCGTCCAATCAACTCCGTTTTGCCTCCCTCAAATAAAATTTACTCCCACCTGATTCCATTCCTCCAATGAAGGAATGACCGACGGAACTGTATAACGGAGGGGAGAAAGGGGGTAATGCCACCTCGACAAAAAAAAAAATATATTTTTAAAAATTGCCACGTCAGCTCGTGGACAATTTAAAATAATTTATTTGAAGTTTGATATTAAAAATTTAAGGCTTAAATAGATACTATTTAACTCCAAACTTTACGACCAACCATCATTTTTAATTAACTTATTTGCCAACCATACAAGATAGTTACCACATATTATATACCTTTCTAATTTTATTGAACCAGTAGTGAAATATCACTCTAATAGTTAGAATTCTATAAGGCAAAAAATTATAATTTTACCTTGAATTTAATTTTTATTAAAATAAATTTAACTTTAAAAAATATTTTAAATTAAAGGTTAAAATAAAACTATAAATTAAAAAAAAAAAATTGTGTAGGCTATGTGTAGCCCTATTTTTGATGTACCCATTCCCTATTTTTCAACCATAAATAAATAAAGCTTCAAGTCAAATCAGCTTTATACATCACACTCAATCTCACACATCCCTCCAAATCCAAAGCACTCTTTTGGGGCCCTCACCATTAATTTTTTAATTCTTTTTTTAAAAAAAAAAATCATTTTCTAAACCATTTAAAATATCTATTATCTATACAATATTTAAAATATTAATTTATCTTATAATTCAACATCATCTAACTTAATCCAAGTACAATTCTTCACGGCCCCAAAAAAAAAAAATTATGAATTTTGTTCGTAAAAGACAAAATTTTGTTCAATATTTTTGAAAAAAATAGGTACATGCATCTCAAAATTTCAATTATCAACATCCACATCGCTTTCCATGTCTATTATATCAGATATAATTTAGAACCCATTTTAAATATTAATTAATATAAAGTAATTAATGGAGACATAATGGATAAGAAAAGAAATGATTATTTGATGCATAAACTAATTTGGAAAGTTTTATTTTGAGAAACTTTTACTTGTCCACAAATAACTAACTTACATTTATTATTACTTTATAAATTAAATATAAGAGAGATCATAATACATTAAAAATAATTTTTTTAGAATTAAAAAAAATATTATTTATGATGAAAAATACAATAATGCGAGTGTGTCAGGATTTGGACCATTTGATTTAGGAGAGGGAATTAATTTTAAGTGGAAATTGAAGGGCTTAAGAAAAGGCCCCATTGGTCAGAAAAAATAAAATAATTAATTAAAAATTAAAACCATAAATAATTGAGGGATTAAAATTAATTAAGAGGAAGAATCACAAAAGGTCTGTCGGACATGAAATTGTCTTAATATTCTTTGAATTAATATAAAACTTTTATATTCCCCTAATTAATTTTACGTGATTCTTACCTTCTTTTTCTGGCATTGGCTTACGATTCACTTGTGACGACGGTGCAGGTGCCGACGTCGACGGCGACGGCGGCGGCGACGGCGGCGGGTTCAGGTTCGTGATTTTCGTTCGGCTTCTTCACTGTGTTTTTGTTGTTGTGCATCCAGACTTTGAGGACTTGCCGTTTCACTCCCACATCGCTACAGAATCGTTCGACGTCTTCTTCGTCTTGCTTTTGAATCCTCCATCCGACTCTCTCGGCGAACTCCAGCATCCGATCCTTTTGTTCTTGTGTGAACTTTGTACGGTACCGCTTTTTGAGGGAGAACGAAGACGGCGGCATCACCTCGGCATTCGAATGGAAAACGTTCAAATCCTCGCTGGAGGACTCGGTTCCGCCACCACCGCCGTAGGCGACGTTCATTGGAGCGATGATTGGAGCATTAGGACTGGAATGGAGGTTCAATGCCATGGAGAATTTATGGTGGCCGTGGAGAGCGGAAGGGGACGGCAATGGCGCAGGAAGTTGGAGATGGTTGAGCATTAGTCCTCTTCTGTAATTAGGACTGATGTTTAATTGACTCTCGCCGTGGATTTCTTTCCGGTGGAAGTTCCGATGACATTCACAAGCGGCGCATTTTAGAGCCTCTAGGGTTCCGTCTTCTCCGCTTGGCATAAACTCTCCGCATCCATCGTATATATTCCCCCCAACGCTCGCCGCGTGATTCTTCAAACATTCTCTATACCTAACTCCAGCACCCGCCCCCCGCGCCTTGGATCTACCGCCAGATGAAAAACTACCTCCTCCTCCTCCTCCGCCTCCGCCTCCGCCGCTAACTCCGCCGCTACCTCCGCCGCCGCCGCCGCCGTTGCCAATGTTCTCTGTAGTAGCCGCAACACAGTCGGCATCGTGGAGGTCGGTTTGGATATGGTGATGAGAGCCATTATGAATCGACTCTATTCTCCGGTCGACGACTCCTCCGGACGAGGTTTCCCCAAAAATATGAGCGTAACCACCACCGACGGAAGCCGCAGGTATTATTACTTCCTTCTCCTGCTCTCTGATATCCATGGAAGTAAATTTCGAAAACCCTAAGCGCACACACACACAGAGATTAATGAACAAAATCACAGATCTCGCAGATTAGAGCTTCAAAAACGAAGATCGAGGAAGCTAAATCAAAGAAATCGAACTCCCTGCATGCTGATTTATCAAAAAAACTCCATGAAATTAGAAAATTACAAGGAATCAGTGGGACCAAAGGGGGAGGGTTGTGGCTTGTAAGTGAGAATCGGAAGCCAGTTTAGAGGAGCATGAACAATGAAGTTTGAAGAGAGAGAGAGAGAGAGAGAGGGGTGAATAGGGAGATGCTTGAAGGGGTTCCAACAAGGGACAGTTTGGTTGCTTAAGGAGAAGCGATGGAGAAGGGAGAAGAGGGGGGGAAGGGGGGGAAAGGGTAATTGGGGAATTTTGGAAAAGCTAAAATGGCACCCAAAGGGAAGGGCATTACACAAAAACAACCGACAACGTCATGTTCATCCCTCTCCCACGCCCTGCCATAATGGGACCCAGAACCCACCCCCTTCATTATTGCTCTCTCTCTCTCTACGCACTTTACCATGGTCCATCACAATGCCTGTACTCCTATACTCATACCCCCCTCCCCCCTTTGATGCGACGTTACTTTCCTTTCATATTCCCTTCCCTCCCCTCTTACCCCCTAAACCCTAATCTTTTCTTCCTTAACCACTATTTATTTGGTTATTCCCACGTTTCCCATACTTTTAAAACATGTTTGTTCCACAAATGTTCCTACGCCCGTATAAGAAATATTTCGTTTTTCTCCTCAACCAACGTGTGGCTAACGTTCTTATTGGTACGATGTCTGGCTCTGATACCGTTTATATTTGCCTAAATCTACCGCTAGTAGATATTGTTTGTTTTGTCCTGTTACGTATTGTCGTCAGCCTCACTGTTTTAAAATGCTTCTACTAGAGAGAGAGGTTTCTACATCTTTATAAGGAAATGTTTCGCTCCCCTCTCCAACCGATGTGGGATCTCACAATCCGCCCCCCTTGAATGCTAGCGTCCTCATTGGCAAAACGCCCGATGCCTGACTCTAATACCATTTTGTAACAGCTCAAGTCCACAGCTAGTAGATATTGTTCGTTTTGGCCCGTTACATATCGCCGTCAAAACACGTCTACTAGAGAGAGTGAGAGGTTTCCACACCCTTATAAGAAATGTTTCGTATCCCAAAACGCGTCTACTAGAGAGAGGAGAGGTTCCCACACCCTTATAATAAATGTTTCGTTCCCACTCCAACCGATGTGGGATCTCACAATCACTCCCTTGGATGCCAGTGTCCTCACCGGCACAATGCCTAGTGTCTGCCTCTAATACCATTTGTAACAGCTCAAGCACACTGCTAGTAGATATCGTTCGTTTTGACCCGTTATGTATCGCCGTCAAAATGCATCTACTAGAGAGAGGAGAGGTTTCCACTCCCTTGTAAGAAATATTTCGTTCCCCACTCCAACCAATGTTGGATCTCACAATCCACCAATCCACCTCATGCTCTGATATCATTTGTAATAGTCAAAGCTTATCACTAGCAGATATTGTCCGTTTTGGCTCGTTACATTTAAAACACGTTTGTTAGGGAGAGGTTTCCACAACTTATAAGATCCTCTCTTCAGCCTCGAATCTCACGTAAATAAATCTTTAAACTTTAAATTATGGCTCTATAAAAGAACAATAAATTTTTAGATACAAAATTCAAAATTTGAATAAACGTACTAGATAGTGTTAAATTGACATGTAATGCCTGACTGTTATGTTATGATTTAATTTATTTGTTGTACCTAAGAAGTAGGTCTTTGCATAGACGAAGTATTTTGGACATTAATGTAGTAAGTTAGGTGTTGAAATTGATTAATGAAGAATGAATTATGGTAGAAAAAAAAAACGTAAACTTGTGGTGGGAAAATATCGAACATTTAAATTTTAAATGTATAAATTATAATATTTTAAAGTATTAAGGACCAAAGTGAGTGAAATAGGTAGGAAAGTTCATTTATGACTTTTATTATTATTTACAAAAAAAAAAAAAAAAAAAAAAAAAAAAAAAAAAAAAAAAAAAAAAAAAAAAAAA